AGAGTATTACAGTGAGTCTTATATGATAAGTAAATTCTGACTCATTCCTCTTCAAATACTAAATGCACTTTGTTAATGTTTACATTTTAACCTCTACTGTATTAAACTATATTAAAGTTTATTTTGTTTTTAAGAATATAGTTCCAGCCCAATAGAATTGATTTTGTTACAAGTAAACTGTTGTATGGAGAGTAGTCCCACAAAGGACTCGGTTGATATTGATACTTTAAATATAACATTTATAATGTGTTGTAATTGCCTGCTTGTTTCAACTAGGGTCAAGTATGTGGTCACTCTTGGTGAAGGAGCTGGAGCCAATATTCTAGCACGTTTTGCTGTAAGTCATTCATTCCATGAATTAGTTTTTAACGTGTTCAAAGAGAGAAAGAAAGTAAATTTGTCATTAGAAAATTACATGTATATTTTTTACATAGTGAACTAAGTCTTCTATAAAATAAAGGTTTGAGTTTCTATAAAAACAGGTTGTTTGTATGTTGCCTACAGAACTTCAGAGTAGTTTTGTTTATACAGCATAATACAGAGTGTGTGTGACTGACTTGCTACCTCTAATAAATTTCATGTGTGCACCCAGCCTGTTAACACTTGTAATGGTCTAAAATGAACATGCTGCTCCAATCAAGGTTCAACAACAAAAAACAACTTATTCAACAATAACAACATTTAAAAATAAATTCAACATTTACCAAGACACAGTTAATAAACACGTGCCTGGCCAGGACTTGACGCTAATGTTTATAAACAATGTCATAAATATCAATAAAAAACCTAATTCCAAAAAAATCCAGCAAACACATTATTGCAAAATTACCTTTCAATATTAACAACAATATAGAATGATAAACAGCAATAATTCATTAACTGTATCATTCACTGACTATCTCGTGATTCTCTCTCTCTCAGTGAAGCTTCTGGTAGGGTATTTCTTTACTCAGTAGGTCACGAGAGTGCAACCTCATGTGACCACATATTTACATAATCTTCTGCTACATGAATATTATCTGTATGTCACCGCTAGGGAAGCTGGTGTCTCATCATGCAAATGTATTTACTAAAAATACAATTTATAGCTAGAAGGTGAGTTAGTGTTTTAATGCAACTAAAAATTCTTAGATAAATTAAACAATAGAAGAAAATAATAAATTAATATATGATAAACAGAACTATAATCATGAAAATAATAAAAATAGAATTTGCTATCTCACACTCCTTCCTCCTTGAAAAACAAAGTGGTCATTAATCACTTTGTATAAAATATCCCAATTTTCATATCCTTACTTTTAACTCCCTCTTTATACTGACATCATGAATCCTTTACAGTTTAAGTACAGGTACCTTAGAAATATTACAACTCATGTTTTAGAATCTTCAGTTAGACCTTCTATAGCTTCTGGCTCTGGTTTGGTTTACTGAAAGTTTGAAGATCAGTTAACTATGATAATATTTATGATGTGGTTGCATCGTCTTTTGAGGAAGAGATAGATGTAAGTCATCAACAGGATCCATTGAAGAATGAGAAGTAGACACACTACAGAAGCCCCTTTTCTTGTGTGGGGATGACCATCAATTCTTCTGTAGTCAACATTTTCATTTTGCTACTAGGATGATTACTATTTTCTTCACTGCTGAGAGAATTGTCACTAGAGAAATATATCTTTTTATATTAGAAATATGAAATCATCCTATAACTGCATATAATCTAGGATCTTTTAATTCGTACACTAATGGAGTAACACGTTTCCACCTTCGTAACTTATATAAAAGGTTCAGCAATTGTAGCAAAGTTTGGAATGAATTTATTGTACCAGACACACATACCCATGAATGTGCTTAAATCTTTGCAGTTTCTAGGAGTTGGGAAGTCTGTAACAGCTTTCATTTGTGTGTATTTCCTCAGAAGAGAGTTTAAATCCTAAATATGATACTTTTGATTGGCAAAAGATGCTTTTAGAAATTTTTGCAGTAAGATTAGCTGTATGTAGCTTGTAGAGAACCAATTCAAGGCCTTTCTAGTGTTGTTCAAATGTGGGTGGAAATACTATAATATTATCAATATAAGCCTTGGAACATTCAGTTGATCCTGCTAAAGTTTACCTATAAGTCTTTGGAAGGTGGCAGGTGCATTTTTCAAACCAAAAGACATCACTTGAAACTTATAAAGTTTGTTATCAGTTATGAAGGCAGTTTTATGTTGATCCTCCATCATAACAGGTATTTGTCAATATCCAATGGATAATGTACTGATACAGGTTGCCCCTGACAAAGCATTCAAAATATCTTGTAGGAGGCAATGGATAGTGGTCAGATTCTGAGACTTGATTTAATTTCCTGGAGTCCACATAGAACTTAAAATCATTTGTCTACTTCTTAACAATAACTACTGGAGAAGCCCAAGAAGAAGTAGAGAGTTAAATTAACCCATCATGAAGCATTTTATCCACTTGATCATATAGCATGTGTAATTTAGTGGGAGAATAACAATAGGCTTTACTAACCACTGGTTTTTCTTTTGTGGTTACAGTTCTATGTTCAGCATATTTCAACACAAGTTGCTTTAACTGTTCTCAGTCTTCACTCTTTAAATGTGAACATTGTACTTCTTCAGTCAGTATCTTTTCAGTCCTCAGAGTTATGCCTAACAGATGACACATTTCATTCGAGAACATTTGTGAAGAAGTTTAGGGTCATTTGATTTTGCTGAAAGAAATCTAATCTGGTAAGATAAAGATACAGCCAAATCTTATGGACAACAAGATGTTGGTTCAAAATTCTATTTCTTGATAATAGTTTTGATTCAAAATATTCGAACAATTGACAGTTCGTTATTCCATCCACAAGACACATGTTACCTTTACTCGAAGTTTTTAGTTGAAGTGTTGGATAGTACTGAATAATTTAATCTAACCCAGTATCTATACAACCTACTACTTTCATACCATTAATTTTTAGGGTTAGGTGTGGTACATCCATTTTAGTTGTTATTAAATAGTTTTGGAGAGTTTTACTTTCACGGGACTCAACCTCCTTCTTTGATCTCTGCTCTCATTTCCCAACTGCTGTCTTTTGTTTCTTTGTTCCCAATTTACATATTTTAATTTCTTGGGACAATGCATAGAAAAGTGTACTATTTAGTTATAAGTATAGCATTGTACAGGTCTATTATGGCACTCAGTTTTAATCACTTCACTATTAAAAGTTTCTTGTTCTGGTAATGCTCTGATGCTCATATTGTTTTTTAAATTTAAGCACATCAACAATAGATATAACAAAGTGGCATTCCAAATATTCCCGTAAAGAAATGTGCAATTGTGATATTATACACTTCACAATTTCTCTCTCTGTAGCTTCAGAGTTCCATAATTTATAAGTTTCACAGTTTTTCAAATAAACATCTCAACCGACTTGCCTGGATTAGCATGGTACTTCCTACTAAAAGAGTTCCATACACAATTTGATATTATCTAACACCACTGAGTACAAATTAGTTGATGTTTCTTTAAATTTATCCCCGTGTTTGAACACTATTTCTGATCCGAAAGCATTCCATCATTCTAGTGGCCTTCCTCTCAAATAAGAAGCCACAGCCTCCATCCATCTATTCTCAGGGGCTTGATACATAAAAATGTCTTTCTAACTTAAGAATCTCCAACACATTAAAATCCAACATACCATCAAACTTTTCAACAGGCAGGGATGGTGAATTGATTGCAATGATGTAAATGGATGAATTTTCCACAGGTCTGTAGGTAAAATGGAAACTCTACATTTTAGGTTGAAGGGAGGGAGACTTGGGTTCTCTTGTTAGTAAATCAGTTACCATGCATATTAGCATTTCAACATTTTCTGTCAATACTGACACAGACTGCTTCAAGTTTGCCATATCAGACTCACTAACTTACATAGTAACACAGTTATTTCCAAACACTAGTTAACTTGTATTTAACTGAATTTAAGTTATTGCTGAATTAATCACTCTATACTAGATTGAGAAACAAAAACATCCATTGTTACAATTCAACCTTTATGAAAAAGGTCCCTGTCTGGGCACCAATGTAACGGTCTAAAAATGAATACTCTGCTACAATCAGGGTTCAACAACAAAACAATTTATTCAACAATAACAACACTTGGAAATAAATTCAAGTCTTACCAAAACACAGTTAATAAACAAGAGCCTGGCCAGGACTTAACACTAATGTTAATAAACAACATATCATAAATAGGAAGAAAAAAACCTAATTCCAAAAAACACAGCAAATATATAATATTCCAAAATTTCATTTCAATATTAATAACAATATCGAGTGATAAACAGCAATAATTCACTAGCTGTACCATTCACTAACTATCTTGTGACTTTCTCTCTTAGTAAAGATTCTGACAGGGTATTTATTCACTGAGTAGGTCATGAGAGTACAATCTCATGTGACCACATATTTACATAATCTTCTTCTACATGAATAGTATCTGTACGTCACCACTAGGGAATCTGGTGTCTCATCGTACAAACATGTTTACTCAAAATGCAAATGATTAGCTAGAAGGTGAGTTACCGTTGTAATGCAACTAAACATTCATAGATAAACTAAACGATAGAAGTAAATAATAGATGAATGATAAACGCAACCATAAATAAAAAAAATTAGAATTTGCTTTCTCGCACACTTAACAGATGTGCAGTGGTCAATCTTCTCCAACCAAACAGATATTTAAGAACAAAACAGTTGCATCTCAAGATTTCCCATAACACTCAGAATAACTTATTTTTAAATCATTATTATATTGGTCGCTTTTCCCTGAATATCAATGTGCTTCTACACTTGTTCCTTTTTTCACAATTGCTTGATGCCCCCCAGTGGCACAGCAGTATTTCTGTGGACTTATACTGCTAGAAACTGGGTTTTGGTACCTGTGGTTGGCAGAGCACAGATAGCCCTTTGTGTAGCTTTGTGCTTAATTACAAACAAACTCAATTGTTTGAGACATTGGAATTCAGAATTGTTAACGTGTAATATTTTAAGATTAATTGATATTTTTATTAGCACTTTTTGTGTAATGTACAGTATTAAATTGGTTTAACTGTTTAATATACAGATAGTTTATAAATGAGCTTTTCTTTCACACACAAAAACTGATCTATTCTGAGATGTTTCATCAAGTTAACCTGTATTTGTCTGTTATTGTTCACATATTTCAGTTATGTATTAAAGATAAATGTTTTTCTACTCATCACACCAGTCATACTTCTCTGCTTCGATTGGCAGTTCAGTGAATTGTTCAGAATACCTTACTTCTCTAGACGTACTCATTTATTAGGATTTGTACTTTCTAGATGGCCTACCCTGATCGTGTCCTCGGTAACATACTACTTCACTGTACCTCCACAGTGGCAGGTGTGATGGAATACTTCAATGATAAGGTAAATTTGTGAATAATGAAAGTAAATTTGTATTCTCTATATTTTGAGCTAAATAGTAAAACTATTTTGTATATATTAATTGAAGATTTAATCTTTATGTACTGTAAATAATGATAGAACTTAAATCATATTGTTGTTAAACAAATGTTTAAACAACTCTATTTATTCAATCATGTACAAGCTGCCCAGTGTTGGCTAACAATACGAGGAATTAAATTGTGGCAGAATGATGAAAGTTCTTCAAATACCTATAGAATGATAGTTTTTTTTTGTGTGAGTGTAAAACACTTAAATTCACCTGTTCGATTTTTGATACCTCACTACTATAAAGGCTTGGTTTGGTCTGATATTTCGTTGGTGGTA